AGAATGAATTAATTTTTCGTCCTTTAAGCTTTCTTCATCATCCAGCTTTCAAATCCCTACATAGCAACCAGGACTGTCACAGTATGGATTATCTTGGCCTTTGTCTCCACTGCCACATCCTTAGCATTAAGAATTTTTCCTAGTTCCTTCAAATCTGCATTTCCAAATCTCAGTCTTCTGATTTCTTGGTTGCAGTATCCATTTGGAATGACTGGACCAAGATGTAGAAAATCTTTCAAATTTTGCTTTCATTATTGACACGTGTTTTTCATAGATTTTTGTTTTCTTAATATTCAACTGTAGTCCTGCTTTTGCACTTTCTTTTAACTTCATCAGAGTCCTTTCAAGGCATTACTATTTTCTCCTATTAATACAGTACCTTAAATTATCAAATGCTTCTTCCACCAATTTTCACTCCTCCTTTATCTGAATCTAATACTGTACAGGTTTTTATTAGATTCTGCTTACAGTAGACACATTCTAATGGGCGGTATATAAATCAAATAAATAAATAAGTAAATAAATAAAATATTTTGTTTAACTGAATGAATATAGATTGACCAGACAGGGAGATAAAATATACCCATGTCTGACCCCTTTGCCAATGGAAAACTTTTGTTTCTCCATATTCTGTCCTAACAGCAATTTCTCACCCAGAGTATAGGACAATCAAATTTTGTTCCACACACATTTCTTTTAGAACAATACATAGCTTCCCATGATCCATAATCAAAGACTTTGCTACTGTATATAAAGCACAGACTGACCTTTTGAGATTCTCTTCACTCTACAATAGCCAATATATATTTGTTATATCATCGATGTATAGTGTGTTTTCCTTCTCTGAATCCACGCAGAACTTCTGGCATTTCTTGTTCCACATATAGTAAAAGTCATTATTGCAAAACCCTAAACATGACTTTGCTTGCACAGCAAATAGAGATGGACATGAATCTCAGTTCAGAGGTTCATGCTGGTTTGTTGGACCAGCGTTACAGGTGCCACATGTTCCCTCCCCCCCTCCAGCTGGATCATCCACTTGCCATCCAGTGTGTGCAGTTCTCCTCCTCCTCTTCAGGATTCAAACCAGTCCCATTAGGAATGCATGCTTCCTTTCTCCACTTCCTGTGGCAGCCACTCACTCAGACAAGGAGGCGAGGCAGGGATTCTGGCAGTGCTGCCTTTGAGTGGGCAGCTTTTGGAAGAGGAGGAGAGAAGCATGCACACCTGCCAGGACTGATCAGATGCCCAAAGAGAAAGAGAACAGCAACATGTGCTGGCTGGTGAGTGGAGGCTCTGGCATCTCTACTGGCAAGTTAATGCAGCGGTCCTATAGTTACAGATTGGATTGTCTTCAGTGTGGAAGGCATTGTCACTCTCGAATCGGCCTCCTCAGCCACACTAGGCGCTGTTCCAAGTCCTCCATACCGAGCACGTTACCATAGCCTCTTGAGACGGAAGGATGCCTAACTAAAATAGTTACTGTATTCTCTGGCAACTCTTTTCTTTGGAATTAGAATGCACAGTGAATGTTTCCAGAACTTATTAGTGTATATCATTTAAAATAAAAATAACAACCCATAAAATTGCTTCTTTGGAATACAGTGCCATCCCCTGCCCATAACTATTTAAACTCCCTCCACCCCATCAGATCCCCCCACCCAAAAGTACTTTGGGCGCATAGGCAGTTCATTAGAACAGAGCTGTTATACACTAATATTTTGGAGTGAGGCAGCTCCCCCTGCTTGGACCACAGACCAGTCTGTTTTGGGGGAGTTGCAGAAATATTCAAATCCTAGTGGTTTTTATACATAGAGTGACTAACAAAACAGAATTATTTCAAACATTTGAGAAGACATTTCAGCATCCATCTTCTTAATTTACTCCGAATAGAAGTTTGCTGTATCCAAGATAAGATACGGAGGTATACTGCAGTTGTAGATAACAGAGCAGAGAATATTCTAAAATGCGTGGATGTCTCGCGAACATTCATTCCAAATTTACAGTAAAGATTACAGATGTATAATGTCTGAGGTGTGCAGGTAGGTTGGTGGTAGTTTTGCTTATATACTGTAGATGGCACCCTGGCTGTCTACACTCAAATTATGGAGATTATACTGCAGGACAAGCAAGTGATGTTTTGTTTAATAAAGTGGTTCCTGCCAAATATAGTGTAGTTAAAGATGACTGAGGGAAAGCAGGCTCTGATTGTTATCATTCTCCTTTCCTCCTTTATGCTAATATCTATCCCTTGTAGTTCCTACCACAACTCTTGGTCTTCCACACTAGTCTTACTCTCCCCTGATGCTCATTCTTTGACTTGCTTTGCACTCCTCCTTTATCTGAATCTAATACAGGTTTTTATTAGATTTTGCCTACAGTAGATATATTATAATGGGCTGCATATAAATCAAATAAATAAAATATTTTGTTTAACTGAATGAATATAGATTGACCAGACAGGGAGATAAAATATACCCATGTCTGACCCCTTTGCCAATGGAAAACTTTTGTTTCTCCATATTCTGTCCTAACCGCAATTTCTCACCCAGAGTATAGGACTTTGCATTATTGGACCCTATGCTACTTCCCTGTGGATGTGTTAATAGAATTTATAGGCAAAGTCAGGCCTACAAAATCCAGAACCTCCCCAAACCTGTGTGTGTTTTGAGTATGACACATTATTGCCACACAAGAATACAACAATATCATTATATTATGCAGCAGAGCAAATCAACATTCTATAATGTGATTAAAAAAAAATGGGGCAGCCAAAATGAAAAATTGTAACCTTTCAATTGGGCTTTGGATTTACACCAAATTTGTCACAGTTGCAGCAGACTGTTTGCTCTTGCCAAATTTGGGGAGGCTAAAAAGAAAAAAAAGGCTTTTTGAAAGGGAGAAACAGTGATTTCTCATCACACTGACCATGCCTGGTACAAGCTTGCCAGCAAGAGCTTCAATGCATTGCAATTTCATCAGGGAAAACTGAGAGGAAACCAGAGGTCCCAGCTATTATCAAAAGTTTTTTTTTAAAAAAAAGACCTGCTTTAAAAAAGGTAATGGAGTGGCGGTCTTTGAAAAAAAATGGGCATTTTACCATGTACCTTCAGGAAATTGGCACGCAATCTTGTAACACATATTCATTACGAAAGCACAGTGCAGTTGTTCTCTGCTTTTCTAATGAAAGCCTTAAGTGCTTTCAGTAAACATGCTCTCAGAATTTCTGAGACCAAATTGTCTCATGTATGTTTTCCAAGGTGAAATCAGCTCCTGGTCTGGTGCAACCAGGACCCAATTAACTGACTCGGGAATGTTTTTAACTCCTTCTTGGCCATGGTGGGATTTATGCTTGCAAGGAGATTCTGTATCTGCTTGCAAATTTTTTTGCTTTGGATGAGAAGTGGTTAACTGATGAAAGCAAGTGCTGGGATTTTCCCCTACTTGGTATTTCTTTGTGAATGGTAGTGAGCAGAAGAGGATATCCTGAAAACTATCTTGACTGATGATGACATTGTTGTTGTCAACATTCAGGCTGCCCTTTGTTATGTAGATTTTAACATCCATTTTTGTGTTGGCAACGTGGGCACGATATTGTGCAGCAATACTGGGACATTTTCTGACATTTTGAATTGTGGACAGAAAAGCACATATCCCAAATTCATAAACTTGAGGTTTTTTTTTTTTTAAGAATTGAATTTATGTCAATGCTTGCAAATGGGGGCAGTAGGTCATGATGATTCATGATAATGCTATAGTCCTTTTTATATCATGTTGTCATGTCCTCATTTGGTGAATCAAACATATCAAGAGGTCAGAACCTGGCCATCCGCCCAAGATCTGCTGTGGTTTTCATGTCCTTTGTCAACATAGCATCACAACAGCACATGCAGTCAATGCGAAGAAAAGAGAATAAGAGTAGACTTTTACGGGAGATGTATAAGTGTACTCAAACCGGACAGGAAATAAGATTTCACTGTGGTGTGATGAAGGCAAGACGCTGAGAGCAGAATGAGGGAAATCAGATCGACCAGCAGTGTGAATAGGGATCATGAAGGTGACATACCCTTGCACAGGTGGCAACACCTATTAGGTGAAGCATGCCACTGAGCCCCAAAACATAAACTACCCATCAGCATGCTGAAAAAGAATGCATTAGGAAACCAAAAGTCCCCCAAATACCCTGAAGCTGTTTATCAATGCTGCCACTTGTTCAAAGACAGAGTGAAAAAGCTGTAGCTTGCAGCAGTTCACTGTGAAAGGTTGGCATATATTGGGTTGTTTTTTTAAAGCGACTTTCCAAAGTTAAGCGTAATAAACCTCCATCAGCTCTTCAGTGTTCTTCCATGGCTACACGCAGGGAACAGGCCCACTCCTGCCTCTAGGCCGAGAAAGGCGAACAGCCTCCGCTGGTAAGCTTTTGGAGCAGCAACTGGGGTCGTCCCCCAATTCAGACCCGCTCCAGCAAAGGTCCTGCCGTGCTGGACAGCAGCCGCTGCCCTCCCCGGCTCTTCAGCCCGCGCTGCCCAGTAGCTCTTTGGCAGGGCCGGACACACCTTCGGGACACACGGGCACTTGTACCGCCTTCACAGAAGGTCCGCCTGCCAGAGAAACATGATCTGTCGCCTCCCGAAGCTTAACTGGGGACATGGACGGACCCACACGCCTGTTCTTACATCTCTCTGGACCTGGACTTGCGCATTTCAATGGGCCATCTGTAACAAACCGAAACGGGCGGCTGCATAGAAAGCAGCGGGGCGAAGAAATCCACGGCCACGCGCCCTGCAAACGCGCGCGGGGAAAGCGCGGGCAGAAGGGCGTGTACAAATGTGTACCCGCGAAAATGTATAGCTTGTCAGGTGCCTCCGTACGCTCTCTTCTCCCGCCACGTCCGCCTAGGAGGCCTTTCTTTCATTTTGCACGTGAGAGCGAACGAAGCCCGAAAATTTATGTTCCCTTCTTTCCTTCCTTCCTTCCTTGGCAGAGGTCCACCCGGCTCCGGAGCTGAGGGCGTCCGCCACCTTCGTTGCCTCCCTCCCTTCCCCGGGTGACGAGATCCGATGGCGACGGGGAGGAGCCATTTTCTGCTCTCGCCGAGGCAGCGAGGCTGAGCAACGGTGGGGAGGGGAGTGAGGCTAAGTGGGTTGGGTGCGTGAGGACGAGGGCAGCCGCCGGCGGGGCTGGGCTGGGCGTGCCTTCCTCGTCTGGACGCCATGGCCGAGACCTCGGGGGCCGCGGCCAAGATGGGCTCCCGGGACGTGCTCCGGGAGACCACCCGGCTGGCTTCCTCCAGCGCCCTCTTGCAGGTATAGCCCGCCAGCGGGAGAAGGGAAGGGACTGAGCCGGGAGAGGGGCGGCGGCGGCGCCTTCTTTTCCCTTCCCTGCGCCAGCCTGTCCTTGTGGGGAGGGAGGTCCTTCCCAGGAAAGCCGGTTGTCACAGAAGGAGGAGCTTCTGCCGCCGCCGCCGCCGCCATCCGCCTGCGGAGGAAGGGGAAACAAGCGCTTCTCCTCGCCCCGAGAGGGCTTGGGCGGCCCGCGCAGCACAGGCGATGAAAGGCGCGGGAAGCGCCTCCCTCCTTTTTTTTTTGCGCCAGGCAGAAGGACGGGGAGAAGGCATAAGTGTGCAAACAAGTCTAGACGTCCCAATGCGAGCTAAAGGGCGATCTGGAACACCCCCTCCCGCATGGGAAAGGTTTACACGTGTCGAGACGTCCGCACGCTTTGGCGTGCCAGAGGCACACTTGCCCCTGTGTTTGTGGTCCGTAAAGAAAGGTGGTGGAAGTAACCCCTAAAGCTCCTTTGTGAAGCTGTGTTGCACTGCATACTATTTTCTGCTCACACAATTTGGTTGTTGTTTCTTCGCCGCCGGCCCCCAGGTGTAAAGTAGCGATAACATGACAAGGTGCTTTACATGTACACTAGGGATTCCCTGTGGAGTGGATAGAGTGAGGGACTAGGACTTATGAAGTCTGGGTTCGAATCCCCCGGGTTTTTTCTGGTCTGTAAGTCAAATCTCAGTCTGCAAGTCAGACCTAAATTTTGCGGCCAGAGAAGTCTGTAACTCAAAAAGTCTGTAAGTCAAGCCGTCTGTAAGTCAAGGGTCCACTGTATTTTCTGCTCACACAATTTGGGTGTTGTTTCTTCGCTGCCGGCCCCCAGGTGTAAAGTAGCAATAACATGACAAGGTGCTTTTCATGTACACTAGGGATTCCTTGTGGAGTGGAGTGGATAGAGTGAGGGACTAGGATTTATGAAGTCTGGGTTCGAATCCCCACTGAGCCATGGTAGCTCACTGAGGGTGTGTGTGTTCCGACTTGATGGCATATAACAACAGGTTGATCTAAATGAGTAAAAATGGAGTCTAATAGTAAATTCAGCTGTAGAAAATGTTCACGCTATTACTGCATGTGCTTCAAAAACAAAGCAAAATTGACTACTAATGTGCTAATTTACACCTGGATTATTTACGTTGTTTCTTATACACTCATTTCATTGTGCTGTATACCTTTTTCAGGTTTCACATTTTTCTTTTTAGCTTAGGAAGGAGTTTCTTTTATATGATGGCTTAAATCCAGTAGTGAGTTGCAACTAGAGCTAGCCCATTGAATCATTGGGGATTGGGTGAGTCAACACCTCTGTAAACTTCACTGATTCAGTGGACTCATTCTGGTTGTGGCTTACTACTGTATTTCAGTCTCTGTAATCTAGGGTTTTCTTTTAATGACCAGTTGCCATGACAGTTGGTTAGTTTCAGTGTGGAGGCCCCTGTGGAGAGGGCAATTCTGTCATAGCACCTACTGACAGGATAAAGTTCTGACTGTCCCTGGATAGACAGGACAGTTTATTTTATTGTTGAAAATGAAATGCTTGTGTTTTACAGGTTGTAGATATTCTTTTTTGACAAACAATTAAATAGGGTTCTTGATTTCTATGAAGGAGTCTAGTTTAGCTTGAGGTATCTGGAAGAGGCACTAATCCAGTGTAGAAATTAACTGTAGCTTTTATGAGGTATTGTGAGGGTTTGGGTTCAGGCTCCAGTTTTTCTTCAGATAAATTGACCGACTTCCTTCGTTTAGAAATCGGTGTAACGTTTATTGGATTGTTTAACAAATAACATGTGTCAACAAAGGTATTCTATCCATTTCCTCCCTCTAACAACTGGTTAGATGGGGGCTTCCACTCTTCAACTTTAAAGGAGTTGCACCCCTGGGTGTTCCAGGGTCCCGGCCAGTCCAGTGTGAAGTCCGATTTCAGTAATTTTCCCGTCTCCCCCTCCAGTAAGGGGACTGTGTCTTCATCCCGGTCATCTGTCCAGGCTTGGTCTCGTGAGGGGGAATCCTCTGGCCATAGTCTTACGAGGGACCCCTCCGCTGTAGCTCCATCATCCACCATTCTAATCTTTCTCTTCTCTCTCTCTCCACCTTTTCCTTCTCTTCCTTTAACTTCCTCCTCCACTCCTTTGTCCCTCGCTCTCCCCAATAAGAAGGTTTAGGGGTGCTCTCACTTCTCCTTCTTTCATCCTCCTCTTCCTTTGGGACTCTTAGTTTCTCTGCCTTCCCTGTCCAATAATCTTCCAACCAGATCCACTCCCCACCACGAGGCAGGTTTCCATCCTCCCTTTTTATATCTACAAGCCCCACATCTACCTCTACCTGGGGCTGTCACTCCACTCCTGCCAAAACATTCCTGCTTTCTCTAACAGTCATGCCTTTCCACTTTTCTTCTACGATCCCCAGGTCTGTTCCGGGTGGTCTTATCTTCCTGGGAGGGGGAATAGGTGG